GGAGTGCAGTTATAAATTGAAGTGGGGGTGTATCTAGCTGAAAAAAGTCTGTATACAAGTCTGGTGTGTAATTATAATAACGTAAGAGAAAAAAAAGCATTTGTCTGAATAGAAACATTTATTATCACAGGATAAACATAGGAAATGTGTATGGAATTCTTAATATAAATACAAAACAGATACAAAAAATAAACAACAACAAAAATCCAATAACAAAATACAAATCACAAAGAAAAAAAAAAGCACCTAAAAAAAAAAAATTATTAATTTAAAAGTTGCTGTACATTTATATATTTTCATGCTTACATAGGTATGGCTTGTTAACCTCAACAATCAATATGCAATGAAATAAAACTAAGATTTTATATAGCCATAGGTGGTTCTTTCTTTAGCTAATAATTGTATCAACCTAGCAACAGGGAATGACTAACAGCTAATGTGTAAATGCCTAAAGATAGCATAATTTCTAAAAGACTAATAAAATTGCCTGAGAGGAGATGGGTGATGCCAAAATAGTCAAAACACACCAACTAAGGATCTGGAAACTATTTTAGTCAAATTAGAATAGGTGCTCCAACAAGCAAAAATGATAGTACTTTTTATGAAATTCATGAAGAAACAAAAATAACAAATATATGAATAGGAGATTGAAGCTATCACAAGACAAATACGTCCAAGGGGTTTGTTTGAACATGAATGCAAAATAATTGGAGATTCATATATATATATATATATATATATATATATATATATAGTAATAAGAATCCAATAACTGTATTATTTCTCATTGAGTCAGCTCTTTAAGAAAAAATTGACTCATGGAAAAAGAATACAATTCTATATGTAATGTATATTCAAGAACCAAGTCTATAGAAATGTATTTCTAAATGATATTACAATTATGAGCTTATATATGTAAGTAAATGATCAATTTATGTAGGCAATCAATAAACAAATACATAGCTATACATGTTTTGTATATTATATATATTATATATATATATATATATATATATATATATATATATATATATATATATGTATGTATGTATGTATGAATTAATGTATGTGTAAGCATATTGGATTAAACTCTAGTCTAATGGGTTGTTTTGGGGTTTGTTTGTTTTTTAATAAAACCCCATCTTTTTATAAAGCATCAGTATATGTTTGTACTAAATGTAGTATAAATTTTGAAGTACAATGTAGATAAAAAAAAATGTGTTCCAATAAACCAATGAGCATATAGGTTGATAGATATTTAATTACATACACACATTCTGTGAAAACTGCAATCACACCTGTATAAATGTACATTTAAATAAAATTTTTAAAAAATACTTGAGAGTGATGTGCATATCTAAGCTTTATGGTCAACATTTTATTTATATATAATGTTGAGTCATATTTATTCTCAGAATTCTTTAAGTACTTTGCCAATGATCTTTCCCAAGACAATTCCAAAAGAGAAGAAACAGTGATCTGATGAATGCTCACTGGGAAATAGCTGGTGGCAAAGTGCATTAAAAAAAAAAAAATTAAAAATATATATATATATATATATATATATATATATATATATTCAAAAGAACCTGATTTGGAAAGATTGTCTGCATTCCATCATATATTATATATCCTGGTATGGGCACTGGAATGTAGTCCTAAACACACATACAAAAAGAGTGTGAGTTTTTTCATGGTTAAAAATTCTTTTATACATCTATAGTCATTCCTCTCTAAATGCATACATTTTTACACCACATTTGAAAAATTTGAATATAATGATTGTACAATGTACATATCTTGCGTTGCTTTGCCTTACAAATGGGATCAGCTTTAAGTCTAATCCAAGCAAACAGATTACTAAAAATTGCAAGCCTACATTTATTATGCAGAATTCACATTTTAAATTAAAAAAAATTATCTCCTCTCTCTCATTCTGCCTGTTTCAGGGGAGAAAGAGAGAGAGAGAGAGTGAATCTATTTATTCTTCTCAGTATTATGATCTTTCTGCGTACAGGACTGAATTACTGCAGATGCAACACAGACATAGTAGGCAGGAGGGTGCACTGACTAAAAGATCATCTTTTAACTTTCGTTTTGGTCCTGAGTCTATTTATTAATAAATAAACATTGCAATTATGCCGTCATTTTATCTAAGAAAAAAAAACAAAACGAAAGCATTGAATCAAATATTGAAAATAAAAAGCATTAGGGAAAAATAAATTAAAACGGATATAGGAATTTAACGAAGAGTTCTCACAGTCATAAATAATGATGTTTTTTGTAGGTGTATGTTGTTATGTTAAATGGTATACCATCTCAGGAGTTTTAATTTTGCATTTAAAAATTTAGAAAAAAAAAAAAAAAAAAGAGATTCAAATAAATATAAAATATAAGTGTTTTGATTTTTAGCTCCACTTTAATACTTTTTTAGCAAAATTGTGGGTAAGCCAAAATTTACTAATACACCCATCTACCCCAAAATTGTTACATTTTTTTAAATTACAAAATGAAAAGGAAAAAAATTTAAAAAGCATGATCACATATTTACTCAAACTATAAATAAATAAATAAATAAAAATTTAAGAATTAGCAGAGGATGCAAAAATAATAATAATAATAATAATAATAAAATAAATAAATAAACAAACACTGATTACAAATAAAGAAAGGAATAGATACAGTTTAAGAAATAAAGTTTTAGTCCCAGTTGTTGTTCTTTGTTGGGAACAATTTCTTTAGTTTTGAGTATTTCCCATTTTGTTAATTTTTTTTTTTTTTTATTCATTTACTTTTTTTGTAGGTTCAGTGTAAAGCTGTTCAAACTAGCCACACATGACAAAATAAAATTCTAAAATAAAAGCAGTAACTGTTACCATGGTAATAAATATATCCGTCCATGAATCCTGTCACAGGGTAAGTATTCCAATCATGCAGTGAGGTAAAATCCGCTAACTGTAACAGGGATTGCAGAAGAGATAATAATAGCAGTAGAAATTAAAAAGAAATAAAATTTAATATCTGTAATTAGGTCGTTTCAGTGGGTGTTGTACATTTATTTATTTATTTATTTTTTGTTTTTGTTTCTTGAAATGTAGCCAATAAAGGTATTAGGGTATGATTTAAAAATGCTGTTTGTGTTTTTGTTAAGTGTTGTCTCCTGGTGGAAGTTAGAGCCAATGGTACAAGTGAAGGAAATCAATGTTCAAGAAAATGAGTAGATGTCATTGCCGAACTTAGTAATGTAATCAGCAAACAACCATGACCAAACACTAACCCATGATCCTAGATCACTGAAGAAGAGGTCAGTGGCTTATTGAAGCTCAAAATCAAAGAGATCATTTTTCTGCTAGATCATGTGAACATTACTCCCAGTTGATGAACACAAAAATGTAGCTTAGTCAAGTGAGTTTCGGAAAGGAAAGACAAAAAAATTACTATATGAGGGGGAAAAAAAAAATTACATTCTGTGATCTTATTTTTTTTTTTTAACAGGCAGATCCCAAGAGAAATGTAATGTCAGATGGATTGTATTTGTTGGGCAATTTTCAAAAGTTTAGAAAAATATTTTTTTTTCAATTTTAATAACTTTCAAGAAACACTTTCTCGCGAAAAGAAGAGTAACATTTGAATTTGTCGAAATTGATCTTTTTGTTCAATTAGTATCAAACAAAAGGCTTTTATTTAAAATCAGGTGACAAAGGACAAATGTTTCCCACCAAATGATCATCAAACTTAAACCAATTTGGTTTTTTTTGTGGGATGAATATTTGGTTGGCAGGGGTGGGGGTTCGAAATGCTGTCAGCAAAATTGAAGAAAATTCTGCTTCATTTTAGGAAACTTCCAGTCAGAAGCACATAGAAAGTGTAAGGTGAGCAACAAGGCTTGATAAGTTAAAGTAAATAAATAAGATCAAGGGCATTCCTAAAGAATTCAGATAGTGTGTTGGTCAGGTTGAGCAAAAATTTTAGGATATGGATTCAAAATGATTACTCTTGATTTGATATATATATATATCTTCAATTGGTAAAAAAAAAAAAAGAAAAAAGCATTTAAAAAAAAAGAAACAGAAAATTATAGCACTCCTGAAAGCTAATCATGATGTCCAGTTGTACTATAAGCAGTAGAGTCCATCTTTGAGTGGCTGCAAGAAGAGGTATCAGTAATGATCTTGGCAATGTTCCTGGGTACCAATTTTGTCGAAAGAGTACAACAGTTTATGGTAACTGAAGATACAAATCGAAAAACATTTGAAGATGGTGTTTGATCAAATTTATGTTGATGTTGTTCTCACTTGGTATATTTATTTTATGTGTCTTGTGTTCTCACCATTTTATTTCAGTTGTAAGCCTTAGAGAGATTGTGAAATGGAAATAACAAAAAAAAAGAAGATAGTAATAAATATATAGTTCATTGTTTTTTTTTTGTTTTTTTTTTTCCTCGGTGGGTGATATTCATTAATTTTTTAATGGAATTTTAGTTCCTTTTCGGTGCTTTTCAGTAAAGCTGAATAAATAACTGCAACCATTTTGGGTGCATTTTTGTTTTCCAATTGCTATAAATACTGGTGCTTGTATAGACAACGCAAGGAGATTCTCTTTTTGTTTTTAGTGTAATAGCTTCTCTCTATTTTTGTTTACTTGTGACAAGATTATTTCCCCCAAGATGGATTCAAGTTGGAAGTGTAATTCACTAAATCCAAAATGAAATTGTTCTTTCTCTCTAAAAGAGTAAAAAATAAAAAAAAAAAAAAAAAAAAAATCTTGTCTACTTTAAGCTCTAATGAAGCTTTCTTTTGTAAATGATATTTTTTTAAAATCCAAATAAGTTGTGAAATTGTGTTCCAAGTGCCAATAAAAAAAAAAAAAAAAAAAAAAAAAAATTTTCTTTAGGAAAATTTAACATGCTTCATTAATGTCAAGTCAGAGAAATTGATGAGTCCACCTTAAACATGGCACCTGGTTATTTAAAGTGTAGAAGGGTGGCAAAACAGGGAGCGTCACTTGGGAGGCCGGTACTTGTGGGAAATGGAATTCACAATGGATTTAACACCTTTTCTAATGCTGGCACCCAGACTCTTGTTCTGGGAGTTTTGTGATGTCGGAGTCTGGGGGTGAGCATCAAGGCATTTCTGATATCTCAGCTTGCAAGCTGCTTCTATTGTCTTGCACAGGGGACCCGCAGAGGGCTCACAATGAAACACATGCGCAAAGTACTGATCCTCAGCTGTATGCATGATGAAAGCACAGAGCTTGATGTTACTCATGGCAATGCCCATGAAAGATAGGAATCGAACCCGGCATTCATCAATCTTCTTATCAGGGTTGCTGTGCTCGGAGATAGTGATGGTTGAAGGAGCAATGGCAACATTAACAAACACCCACATCTCTGGGGGTACTTTAGTATATAAGCTCTCAATAGCATTGTTTAAGGTATCCATGCCACTGGCTTTAAACACCTCCTTGAAACCAAGGTAGTGACAACGAATCACCTTTTTCGGCTCCTCCATTGGAGTTGGGAATGAAGTGTTATTGTAAAGGTTTTGGAAAGTGAGTTTCTGACCATTCGGCTGCCCAGTACCATTTCCACCTCCTTCCAGGTTAGGGAGGTCTGTGGGTCGGTTTAGCCGATTCATGTTAGCGTTCTGCTGAAGGCCCTGCTCTAGCATAATCCGCTTGCAGATGTCACGGAGAGTGTTAGCTATTTCTCGGGCCGGCGAGTCACAGCGGAACACGTGGCACATGTGTTTTCTGGTCGTCTTGTCTCGAGACACGTAAGCAAAATCTCGTCCATTATCACGTCCGACTCCCCACACACGAATAGTGTGAATGGGTTGAATATTCAAGATAGTCTCATCAACTGGGCTCACCAAACGTAGGCTGTGGTCATCAAGGTCCATGTAAAGATCCTTGCCATCGCCCCAGCGGCCGACGACGTCGTTGAGGTCATTACGTCCAAGTGAAAGGTCCAAGATACACTTATTAACGGCCTTGCTGCTTTTGGCTGGACTCAGGTCATCATCGGCGATACATACCCAGCCAAAAGATCTGACAGCAAACCGTACTGGCTCATGTTTTGAGAACTTTCTTACTGGTACAGGAGATTTCTCAGTACTGGAACACAGAGATTGCAAGGATTTGGCTGCATATTTAAGCACATGGCTTTCAAATGCCTGCAGATGCTCTTCTGTGTTAGAACTGGTACTGTTTGGGCTTGAAGGCACCGAGCTGGGAGCTGATGCCTGGCTACTGTCACTAGAGTTGGAGTTTGATCGCTTTGTTTCCAACTGTCCAGGCGAAGGTGGTGGTGGAGGAGACCTTTGAATCGTCCCACTTTGAATGTGCCAATAATAGGGTCCATCTTCATCTTCATGCCTCTCCCAACCTTGAGGCAGCTGTTCAACAGGTGTGTTCTCCTCAGAGTCCATTTTACTATCAGTTAGGGTCTCAGAGTTATTTTCCTCAACAGAGTCTTGGTCATCATCATCATCATCATCATAGTCATCCTCCTCCTCTTCATCATCATCTTCAATATCTTTAACATTGTCGACCTCATCTACGTCATCGTCCACTGCATGAACGCCATCATCATCATCGATGTCATTGCAGTCATCAAGGCCAAGTTTCTCATCATTGAATTTCTCATAGCAATCCTTTTCACCTGAAGGGATGCGGGTAATTTCAGATGGAATATTCAGGATGTTCTCGTCCAACCGTGTGTCAGACTGGATGCCACTGTCGTGAGAATCTGGAGAGTTGATGTACTGCTCGTTTTTCAGATTATTCGACTTTTCAAACGAGATCACCTTAGTATTCTCATATTCTTCATCCTCATCATCTTCGATTTCTTCCACTTCTTCAGCATCATCATCTTCATCCTGACTATCACATACATCAGCTTTGTGGATAATGTTTACATCTGTGCTATCCAACTGATCAGCCTCGTTGATGTCATCTCGTTCCTGACGTTCACGTGCTTTAGCTTCTAACAAGGAGTAATATTCAAGAAAGCTTCGAGGCTTCTCATCTGAAAGGGAGTTCAAATCCCGGTTGCAACCAATACCACCAGCTGTGGTCATGCCGACAATTTCCACCTGCTGCATACACATACTCAAATTTTCTTTGATATTTTTTCGGCGTCTCTCATCTTCATTCAACCTATTGTCTTCTTCTTCATCTTCTTCATCATCATCATCATCGTAATCATCCTGCTCTGGATAACCAACCTCATCATCATCTTCCTCATCTAATTCATATACGCCCATGCCTTCTTCGTCTTCCTCATCCTCATCATCATCATCGTCGTCATCATCGTCGTCCTCCTCGTCCTCCTCTTCATCGTCATCGTCGTCCTTGTAAACTAAGAGGGGGTCTTTCTCCAACTGCTCGTAGGTGCCACTGGTGTCATCATCGTCACTGACTGCATCTTCCGTACCATCACAAGGGGACATCAGGAGTCCAAGCTCGTGCCCAGCCGCCAAAGGGTTGTGCCCGTCTGAAGGACTCAAATCAATGCCCATCGAGGAAAGATCAAGTTGAGCGTATCTCTTCCGTTGTTTAATTGCCAACGGCAACGTGTTATAATGTTGTTGCAGGGGATCAACACGGTCCAGGTGGATGGACTTGTCGTAATTCCTTCTATCGTCCGCACACAGTCCGATATTTTCTTTCTCTTCGTCCAGGTTGAACTGCGCGGAAGAAGAGAAAGACAAATGGTGGATGTCCAGGTCGAGATCTTCTTCGTTGATATAAGACGATGGTGGCGTTCCTGTGGTGCTATTTAGGGTGGTAGTCGTGGTGTTGTTACGATCGGTTAAGTCTCCTGGGTGAGTTGAAATAAGGTGGTCCTTAAGACTCCCACTAATTGTATGCTCCAAAGACACCAGATTGCTACCGGGTCCACTACTGCTTGTAGTACCTGACAATAAATTGCCAATGTTACTATTAAGTCGATCTTCGAACTGGTAGTTCGGATTTGCAAAACTTAGAAACGGTTCTGTATTGTCAACTGGTGATTCCGACATTGTCTGCGAAGACAGGCAAGGCAGGAGGTGGTTAGGAGGCGGGCGATACGGAAAAACAGACACGCGTAGATTTGATTATAAACGATAAAAAAAAAAGAAAGAATGTATGTAGAAATAGACACAGACACTGACAGATGAGGTTTGTATTTTATGTGCTCTCCTCTCGGACTCGCTTTTTTAAGCTAATACCAGGTAAATCTTACCTTTGACTGCGTCAGGTAAGGTCCTGTTTGGTTATCCTCGTAACTGGATGTAGGTATAGGGGTAAATGTCCGAGTGTGAGTGGTATTTTGCCATAGGAAAAGCTCTGCCCGCGTCACCCAGCTAGCAGTCTCAAGTAACCTCTCTCACTGCTACAAGACGACTGGCGTTGCGCCTGTTATACTGCTTACAGCTATGATGATGATGATATTAATCTCGAAACAGGGTGTAAAATATTCCTCCAAGAATAAATGCCCGACTAAAATCTTGTGACCAACACTCATCGACTTAGAATATAAGAAGGTAAAAATGTTCCACTTATTTCTTCGGGTTTTTCCATAAAGAAATAAAATATTCAACTGCTTTTTGCGATCTTATTATTGATATTGCTACTCTCGAACCCTGACGTCACCGTTTGTTCGTATTTATCGGTTGGTTTACGGAAATATACGAGAGTTGTCGAACGAGTTCGTCTGTAAAGAAAAAGCAAAGCGGGGGTTATTACAGAAGAGAAAGGTGAATGAACAGAGTGAGAGAGTAAAGAAGCAGCAACGAAATACTTGTTGATAGAATAAGTCTTAATACTGAGGAGGGATGTGAGAAAGAAAGATGGCAAAGACAGGGTAAGAGTTATATATCGAGAAGGTAATAAAAAAGAGAAAGGCGTTAAGATGGAAGATACTGAAAAAGCAGAGTGTAACACTTAAAAAGTCAGCTTGAAAGAGTGATAGAAACAAATGGTAGGTCTGAAGGGAGGGTTAGTTGTGTAGAGAAAAAAGTAATTACACTAGAGAAACCGGGGGATGAGAAGTAGTAGGTATATATATTGACAATATTTAGAGAAGGTTAGACAAGGGGGTGAAAAATAAGAGGAGAGAGTACCACGTGAGGAAATGTAAGCGAGGATTTAAAGGCGGAAAAGAGTGGGAAAATCTGCAGAGAGAACTAAAAGCTTTTTGAAAGAAAGGTAAAAAAAGAAAACAATAGAGAAAGGAAGGAGAAGAAGATGAAAGAGATCTGTGTTGAGATAGAAATGACTGAAACGTAACTATTGACATGGTCAGAGGTGAATACAGAAATAACGAAGAAAAAATGTACAAGAGAGAATATTTAGAAAGCAAAGACGTTTAGGAAAAAAAAATCGTAAAATGGGAGGTTTAAATGGGATAACTAAATTTTATAAGCAAGAAGACTGAGGCAAGCCAAAAGAAAAAAAAATTAGTTTAAAGAAATTAAATTCAAAAGAGAAAAAAAAGATTTGAAATGGATTATTTTATTTCTAAATCGTGTGCTTAAGCAGTAAGTGAAGAAAGAAAGACCTTGTTGGGTTGTAAACGTTTTTAAGATGATAGACTAAAATAGAAAGGCAAAAGTGATAACGAAAAAAGAATAGAATTTTATTCGAAGTATATAGGACAAAAAATGGAATATAGATTTTAAAAATCATGTAAAAAATAATGAATTAAGACACAGAAAAGATGATTAAAAAAAACTTAAAAGCAACTGTAGAACAATTAAAAAAGGAGATATAGATATTGACAAACTGTAAGTGTAAAATAGGAGTGAATGATAAAGAAAGCTAGTGTAGGTGTGTCCTATATTTAAAAAAGGAGGAAAGGAATTTGAAAGGGTTAAAAAAAAACAGCTAACATGGTGGGGTAGAGACCGAGTAACAGGTTTAAAAAGGAAAAAGGAAGGAATGTTGATCGGAAGGAAAGGACAATAAAAGAGAAAGGAAGGAATGATGAATGGTGGAAGTCATGAGTACTCTGAGGTTATCTCCTAGTTTTCAGGTTAAATCAATAGTTGTTTGGTTTTCTCTCTCTCTCTCTCTCTCTTCTTTTCTTTTTACTACGACGACTGCTACTCACGTTTTTAATTTTTGTATTTTTATGGGCTTTTAAAACGTAAACGACAGACCAGATTTTGAGATATGCCCTCTTTCTACAAGGGATAGATAAATAATTAAATTAAATAATAGTTATTTCTTATTTTTGCATTTTTTCGTCAATACAATTAAAAGAAAGTAAGAAAAAGCGTCCTACAACTGACTTCACTTTAAGACAATGAAGACTGAAGGAAGAGAGACATTTAAAATTTAAGCAGGGAAAGTGCGTAAAAAAAATAAATTATTACTAAATTCTTCTCTCCCTCACTCTAGGAGTAAAAAAGATAATAATTCTGAGTTGTAATTAAGATGATATTTTTATCATTAGTTTTACTTTTCTGATTTTTTTATTTATTTATCGTTTTTCTAATATATTGTGGGTTTTTTTTATCCAAGTAAAATTTCACTCGTTATTTTTCTGGCGTAAGCTTGTTTGTTTACACATTTTAGGAGAATTGTCAATAATTTTTTAATGATTTTCTTATTCATTATTGTTGTTGGTTAGTTGTAAATATCAACATCGTCAATATGAAGGAAGGAAGGAAAGAAAGAAAGAAAGAAAAAAGAAAGAAAGAAGTTGGTTAAAAAGACATGGAAAAGAAAGCAAAAATCTAGGAAGAATGGGAATGGAGAGGAAGAAAAAGAATAGAATTGGGAGGTACTGTTAATTGGCAGAGGGGAGAATGGGGGAGCAGGAGTAAAAAGTAATTTTGGGGAAACATAGGTGAAAGAGGGAATAACAAAATAAAATTTCTTACTCTTTGTTTATCTATCTTTTTTACTGTTTGTTCATATCTATCTATCTATCTATCTATCTATCTATCTATCTTCTGTAAACTTTCCTTCATTAGCATATCTTTTTTTTTTTTTTACTATTTCGCACAGATGACAAAGGAACAGGCTTGTTTGACATGTATTTACTGACCACTGAAAGTAAGACTGCTTGGTCAATATTTATTTTGTGCAAATGCCTTTAAAATAATAATAAACAAATATAAAGATAATATCAGTACAATTCTAAAAAAAAAAAAAAATGATTGTATATGACCCATAGAGATGTTTACGAGGCTATAAAAATCTTGATCGATTCTATTTACCGAACGATCAACAGATCTTATTGATAACTACGCAGTTGGCTACTCATGTTACGTAATAATATCTTTGTACGCAACGGTTTTTGCACAGATATTTCATATACTGCAGGCGAGCGATACCAAAATTAATCACCCGAACGCACATGTGCACTGGCATGCACATACACACAAACATGCACACACATATACACACACGCGCGCGCGCATACATATATAAAGAAAATCCTTTAAAAACGAAAGAACCTTTATTAAAGTAATCAGACATGAAAAAGGAAATGAGAGGGATGGAAAGTTATTTAAGCGAAAGTGAAAGTGAAAGTTGAGCCTTTGTAAAAAAAATAAATAAAATAAAATAAATAAGTAAAGAAGAAAAGGAAGAGGGAACAAGACTTCATTGCAGCTGAAACCGACGAAGTTTCTATCATGGAAGAAAGATATGCGCACATGTGTATGTATGTGTGTGATATATATATATATATATATATATATATATATATATATATATATATATATATATATGTGTGTGTGTGTGTGTGTGTGTGTGTGTTTGTGTGTGTTACTGTTAATAAAAGGAATGGCAAGTGGAAAACTTAATTTAAAATGCGTTTCGTCTCACGAGGAACTTAAGAGTGAAGCTCGTAAAAATATTGTCTTTGCATATCTCAATTTTTTGCACATACGTATTATTTATATACACACACATATACCTACATGTGTATGCGTGTGTATGAGCATGTGTCAGCATATAATGCACGTTTGTCTGAGTGTGTGTGATCAGATTACATGTATGTATATATATATAATATATATATATATATATATATATATATATATATATTTATATATATACATACATGTGAGTGTACGCCCTACGTATATGTTTGCGTGTAATCTATGCTTATCTGAGTATATGTGGGTGTGTGTATGATCAGATTATATATGTGTGTGTACATGCGCACTTAGGTATGTAACCCATGCTAGTGTAATCTATATATCTGCAGTGTATATAACCCATGTTAGTGTAATCTAGTAAACTATATATCTATAGTATATATATATATATATATATATATATATATATATATATATATATATTTTAAGAGAGTGTTCAATACAATTTTCATAAAATGAAAATGTAGGGCAAATTAAAATATAAACTGTTCGAAACACTGATCTTATGCAACCACGATTTCCACCAAGGTGTTTTCGTCAGGTCGCAAATTAAAGTGTTTCATCTAAAAAAAACTTATCTATAATTGTATCTCACACTGGCTGTGGAGTGAAAAGAATAAAAAGCAGTGGCGGGGAGAAGTAAAGAAACAAAGTTAAGTAGAAAGTGGGTGACTTCTCCCCCCACTTGTCCTCCTTCTTCCTCTATTGCCAGTGTAGGTACAATTATAAAAAAAGTTTTTTTTTTATCGCGAAACACTTTAACTTACTGCCTGACGAAAACCACCTTGGTAGAAACCGTGACTATAACACATTTTGACACATTATATATATATATATATATATATATATATATATATATATGTATATAAGTTTTAGTAAATACGACTGACAAGGTACTGTGATTAAGCTTTTTATTCAATATTTCATGCGTTAGTACAAGCATTTTCTTTTCTGGACATAAAGTGTGTAAACACTGTCCAAACGTTCTATATATTCAAGCGCTTTCGGCTATTCTATTAGCCATTATTAAGGATGTTTTTTAACCTTAATATGTAGATTTTATATAATTTGGAATCGTAATCACAATCCAATTCATTATCCAATGAATTGCATTGTGATTACGATTCCAATGTAATAAATTATAA